GCTTTGGGAATGAAGGAGGGAGAAGACATAAGCTTTCCATGTACAAGTCTTAGGCTAGACTTATCTAGTCATTCATTTTTGATTGTTGTTTTTCTTTGGCTTACTGCATTTCACTGGAGACATATTTTCACTGAGCAAACGATTGCAGCAGTTTTATGGAGCTCCTGCAAACGCGTATCTGCTGCTGCTTCAAGACCCAAGGCAGAGCTGATGGAAGGGAATGTAGAAACAAGTCTCAGTTACTCCATGCAACGTCTGTTGGTTTAATTGAGCTGCTGCAGGTGATTTGTTTCAAGCTAAGCTACCAGTTGTGGCACTGAAAGGTCTGAGGGACACAAACGCATGGATCCATGCAAACCAGCTGTGCGAGAGAACAGCAAAGGACATCATGGACAGTAACTTTTGAAACTACTATAGGTAGATTTGCTAAGTTACACACGCTAACACTCTCATTTTCCCTTAGGCTAATTGGTAAGTCCACCCACAACCCCCAATATCACCATTAACATCGTATCTTTGAGCATGCTTTGAGCATGTTACTAATGTTTTATCTCACCTATCTAGCCTCCTCCCTCATCCAAACTTGCACTTTAAAGGTATACAGGAAATGTCTCCTTTCTCTCCCTTGATGATACTTTTTGCTGGGGACTCCCTCCTATGGGCTTTTAAATCCCCCTGGATTTCACAGCTTGCTGTCTTTTCTTGCTGCCGTTCCTGAACTGAAAAGACGTGCTCTCTCTCATCGCAGAAGATTAATTTTCTCTCTGCCTCAAATTACTTCTTAAAATCTAATTCTCCATGAAGCCTTCTGAACAAACCTCCCCAACCTCCAGAGAGCACTTACTTGATGTAGCTCTGGGGGTGCTGCCTTGGGCAGCTGCCAGGCTGCTGCCAGGAGGACCAGTCCCGCTCCCACCGCCCAGCCCCACCACCCTGCCGTTTCCCACAGCGGCTGTCAAGCTAGTGTGCTGATCACGCAGAAAACCAACCAAGAGAAAAACAACCGCTCCAGATTTCTGACCAACTTGCCCCGTGATTGCTGGCCATGGCTGCAAGGGATCTGCAGCAGAGATGTGAATCAGAGCAGCATCGCTTCCCTAGACTAAATTACCCTTTGTGAATACCTGTCCTATCCCCTGTCTGCCCCTCATACATGGAACGTACATGTGGCACCATGAGAAAGGTCTTTTAAAATTTCTGTATGTTCTGGTAGCCCAAATCTCATTTTCAAATGCGAATTAAGCGCTTTGGCAAGGGTTTCATTAAAATCGGTGCAGTTTAGAAGACCTATGTGAGAATAGGGTTTAGATGCCTAAGATGCTTTGCCCTTCTGAAAGTATTATCCCTGAACTATACCAAGTGCATTTTGCTTTCCAGGGAATGATCCCAAAGTGCAGAGCTGCATCTCAGCCTGTCTGACTGAAATCCAAACCTTCAGTGCAAACATGTCATCACTTGTAGTCCCTCATGAAGATTTCGAACTGGATACACTGAAGTTGCAAGGTCAACACCTTTAGGAGCAAAACACAGCTTGCTGCGTAATCTTTATACATAAGCCACAGGATATTTTGCTCCTTACTTGCCAGTTCAGCCTATTTTAAAAGAGAATCCAACAATTTTAATGTTCTGCTTTGGAGCTGACTTCTAAACTGATTCTATCATAATAAAATACATCTGCATAAATAACATGTATTTATAGTGTTTCTACAGGGAGTTTCAATATTAATTTCAGCTATCACTTTGCCAGAGAAGTTAGGGGGAGAGTACTAGTACTGAATTTCCTATGAAAATTTTACAAAAGTGTCAAATATATCTGCAAAAGCTTGAAATGGTAAGCCTGCAAACAAACCAGTTTTTGTTTTTTTTCTGAATGGCTGCTTAGCATTAAGCTGGCTCACAGAAGCTTTTTGGGGAAGTGCTTGAGAATTTTATGAGTCTTTGCATTTTTATTAAAATGTATCTTTGCAAAAATGTACTGGTTGGAAGTGTATACTTTATTTGTTGGTCAGTGTCAAACTTCATTTTAATATATCCCTGATTATGGTACATATTGAGTAAACTGCTATTTTAAAATGTTGAATGTGCTTGCTTGTAACTAATCAGGGGTCTGAACAGTGTCTTGGGTAGTCTTTGCTCACAAACAAAATGCTCCACACAAAGCAAGCAGGTGAAAACAAATACAAGGTGTTGTGAAGGAAGGTTGGACCAGATCAATTAATGGTGGGCAGGTAATTGGCTTCTTTGAAGAGGTGTTCCCAAATAACTTTACTGCTAAAAGAGCAATTGTTAAATAAGTGTTTTCCCTTTTCATGTTCAGGGGTTGAAAACTGCACCCATCGCCCATTAGCCCAAAGTCTGAGTCAGCTAGACAGTATGAAAAAATACATGGCACTTAAAGCTCGCATTTAGCCTCAAAGCTGTGTCCTGCCACTCAACAGGAACACAACAGTCGTGCACTGTTTGTGACCTTCCTTTACTTGTAATGTAGTGTCAATCACATTGGTCTTTAATCCTTTCCAAATTATAACATGTATCTCTTGTGCTTTAATTTTGCTTCAGTCCCTTCCTGACTTCTTCTTTTAATTCTCGACAAAATAGGACACTATCTCTCTCTATTATATTCAGTATTTCACCTGAAATTTGTGATGTTTGTGAGCTTTTCTTTACTTTGCTTGCTTTCTTGAAACTTTTTCTATACTTTTAGCCCACCAGTTTTTGGTTTCTGATTTATTTTCTGGGTTTTTCTCTCCAAAATCCCTCCTTCTTTTGATACCATGATTTCTATTTCTAATGCATTGTTTCAGTTCTCATTTTTGACTTCCCCAGCAGATGGTTAGACAAAAGGGGAGAATGTGATGTCCCAGGGCTTGTCATGGTCCCAAGACCTTGCAAAATAAATCAAAATTCCAACTCCTAAGGTCCTGTCTAGCTGTGGGATCTAAGATGTAGTGGTGTCATCTTCCCTGCCTCTATCTTTTGCCTGAGAGACCTGACTTTGGAATTCTGTTGAGTTACTCCTTCTTTCAGCAGTTCCTGTGAGAAGCTAATCTTCTACTCCTTCCTTTAGTTTTGTGGTTACTGAAAAAATTGTTTATTTTTCACAGATTTCTTTTTTGAATCCTCTTCCCCAGCAACTTGTTCCAATTGTCATTCAAAGTTTCCAAGCTGGGGGAGGAGACTTGATAATTTTCACTGCTGCATTGACAACTCAACCTTAAGGTTTCTGTCCATGGAGACTTTAAGAAGCCACTGAGCAGTGGAAGATTAACTGCAATGTGAAACTCAGGGATTCAGGAGAGTGTCCCTTCGTTAGCTTACACTCGGTTCATATTTGAATCATTAACTTTGCAGGCATTTGGATGGACAGTTCCTTTCAGTTTTAAACAAAAAACCTTAATATCTGTGAATTTGATAACTTGCTGAAGAAGCTTCTGGCTTTTTTCTAGCCAAGTTGATTCTCAAAGCCTGGCAACATATGTTCACACTTGTAGTTTCAGCTGTGTCTGTACATCTAATACACTTTGTCTGCCTGAGGAGGAAATCCACTGTGTGGTGGTTAAATATGAGTAAATGTAGTATTGGCTTTCCTGTGCTGGTTGTCGCTCTTACCTCTCTCTCTAGCCCAAGCTACCTATGTGTAAAATACAAAAGAGTATGTATTACAGTAAGAATAAGTGTATGTTGTACAAGTGCAAAACTCCACACCTTGGTCTTCAAAGCGTTTGAAAAGTTTCTGAGGTATTTTTTGTAGACCTATGTTTTTAAAAATCTAGAATCCACAACCATCATGTGAGGCCAAATAGACTTCTTCAGCTTTTTTCTTATCTGAGGTTGTTGACCTCAGGAGAGGAGGAGAAGGTTACAGGGTCAAAGTCTTTTCCTCCTTGGAGCTTGCTGCTTGCTGGGAGAGGGTTGGCTGGAAAATAGATGTTTTAGAAAAAGGGTTGAGGGTCATGATTTTAATTCTGTTAGGGAACAGCTGGTTTGAGTTTCTTTCCACTTCTATCTTCCCTCCCTTCCTCACAAATCCATGGAGAGAGAAAAATTTGTTCAGAGGAAAGCAGTAACACAAAAATAAAGGATTGCAGTGTTTTCGTGTTTAAAATAGATCATGTTTGTTATAGGACTTCACATTAAGAGAGAGAAGAGGAAATTATTAAAATAATTGAAATCCATTATTGTTTCAAGCATTGAATTGAGATTGATCTAGAGTGCCAGAGGTTTATTTGTTTCCCTGCCAAAAGTTAAATTGTTAATAGTAATGTTCTAATGTTTTTTTGGTGGATAAACAATATGCATTACAATTTTTAATTTAGTGATGGACAAAGCTAATTATAAATGTGCCGTGTTAGTTTGCATACAAGTTGCTGAAGAAAGATGGGTTGATTTGGCTATTTCTGTTCAGATTTTCTTCATCTTTGCATGCTGCTTTCATGCACTAAGACCAAACAGAGAGAAGGAAACTCACAACTCTCAAATGAATGGCAAACTAGGAACAGATTTTTTGTCTGTGCTCCTCTGAAACACTGGCCTCAGGCTGTGTTGGTGTGTGGCTCAACAGCAATCAGAGGTCATAATTTCATTGGCGGTTAGCATCAGGTTTAATTTTTCTAATATGTTACATTTACCAAAATGTCTGGTTTCAGTTACACTTATGCACTGACTGAATCAGCTTTGAGCAGCATGATGTTTTAAGGTACCTGAAAGGCTACAAGAACGTTTATGGAACACATATGCTAATTGTTTTTAAGCACTTTCCTTTCTAAACACAAAAATGTGTTTTTGGAAAGCCATTTAACAGTAGTAGCTAATGATCGTGTGCATTTATTCTAAGAAATGAGCACAAGGAATAGGTAAAATAGTTGTTTTAACAAGACTGCCATCTACTGATTTCCACAATTAAAAATATCCCTGATGAGTAGATTGTTCGTAGGTTTTTATAGCTTTATTTTCGAGATTTGCAAGATCAAGAAAATTATAAAGTCTTTCTGTCGCCTTAGGAATGCGACCAGGTTCACATTGACGACGTGTCTTCAGACGACAACGGTCAAGATTTAAGGTACAAGAGAACTGAACAAGATAAAACGTTACTTTGCAAGTTCCTTCCTGGGAAATCAATGAACTGCTGTAACGCTTACAGTAGCTGCTGCCTTTTTAGATGTCTTAGCCTTTGCAGTCCAGCAAAGTGAGTTGAATGTAGCCTGGTGGTTGAATGTAGCCTGTTGCCCTTTGTTAATCTGGGGGGTTTCTTATCTCTGACTAGCACCTATAACTTCGGAACAGACGGCTTTCCTGCGGCCGCCACCAGTGCGAATTTGTGCCTCGCGACGGGGGTGCGCGGAGGAGTGGACTGGATGCGAAAATTGGCTTTCCGCTACAGACGAGTAAAAGAAATATACAATACCTACAAAAATAATGTTGGAGGCAAGTGACTTTGAAATATATAACAAATATAGGCAAGAATTAGTAAAAAGGAAGAACTTTTGGTTTCTGTTCCTTTTTTAACATGGTAGTGTTTAGTGGTTGGCGGTGTGTGGAAAATTGTCTCTGAGCTAATGAAAGCAAAGGAAAATGACAGAACGTTACTTAATTTCAGTGCAGACATGCCCTTATCTACTCCACAGGTCTTCTTGGTCCAGCAAAAAGAGAGGCTTGGTTGCAACTAAGAGCAGAAATTGAAGCTTTGACAGATTCTTGGTTAACACTTGCACTGAAAGCACTCACCCTTATTCATTCGAGGTGAGTACAAAGAGTACGGGGTAGTTACAAAACTTGAAGATTATCTGCTGATGATCTAGAAGAGGCTGCCTGGTCTGGTAGGCAAAATGCTGAACCTGGAGGACCTTCTTCCCATGCCTTGTTCTGGTCTGACCATGCCACTCTGTACCTGTAAGGTAGAAAAAAAAATCTTTCTTCGTAAGTGGCAATAATAATGTTGAGGGGTTCTGATGGAAGGGATAAAGTTTTCCTTGTTCTGTTTTGTTTTGTTAAAAAAAAGGATGTTTGTGTTTTCTTTTCCATAGGACAAATTGTGTGAACATTCTCGTAACAACTACTCAGCTAATTCCAGCTCTGGCGAAAGTCTTGTTGTATGGACTAGGGGTTGTATTTCCCATAGAGAATATTTACAGTGCAACTAAAATAGGTGAGCTATTTTTATAATGTTGTGATACATTTGAAGCTGTAATTCTAAATAAAAAGATAGTGTAGTCTATATTTATTTCTTACATGCATTCACTGTAGCAAATATAGAGATGAGTAGTACCTGATCTCATGAAACACTTTTCATGCTAAAGCATCCTGAAAGTGCTTTTCAAATGTTTGTCGTGATCTAGCACAGAAAGCTTCATGTAGCTCTGTTAACGCTGCTGCAGCCTCTGTTTCCTCTGTTTTGTCTGAGGAAACACAATCGCTTTTTTGTCATCGTTTCTCAAAACTGTGAGGCTATGTAGCAGTTGAGAAGGCTTTTTACTAGGCTGTGAGTACAGAAGGCTGAAGTCTCCCCAGATTAGCAGAAGAAATTCTGTAAAGGTAAGCCCTGGCTCCATTTGTTTTCATGGGCTCTGGAGCAAATTTTGGTAAACAATTTACCAGAAGCAGG